AACAATTCTTCGACAATTTTTTTTCTTTTTATCGTCTCTTCATGTTCTGGAATTCCAACCACCCATAAATTGTTTCTCTTCATGGTGTCCCACATAACTCTGAGGCTTACGTTGGATTTTTTTCATTCTTTTTTCCTGATTCTTCTTCTAGCATACTAGTATTGAGAAATTTATCTTTAAGCTCACTAATTCAGGCTTCCACTGCTTTGAATTGACTCGTTTGCCCTTTCAATGTATTATTCATTTCTGAAATCTTAGTATTAATTTTCTGGATTTCTAATTGCAGGCTTTATATTGTTTTAAAATGTGCATTTATTTTCTCCATTTGTCCTTGTAGCATTTTCCTGCATTCTTCTAAAGGTTTTAACTTTTATTGTATTCTCCTTGCTTTTCTAGATCTTTCTGTCTATTGAAGGTACCAAAATAGCATTCCTTTGAATTCTTTTTCAGTTAGTTCTTTACCTTTTTTCCTCAGAAATGTTTTCTGCTTCTGCAATTTGTTCAATTTTTTGAGTTATTCTCTCGTTTCTTCAATTGAGAATTGTCTGTTGTCTCTGAGGCATTGTGGGATTGTGTATTTGTAAAAACAAACAGTGCAGTTGTTGGACCCAGAGGGGAGAAATCTCTGGGGTCAATTCCAGGAGCTCATGAGGTGGTTGTGGATGGGACAGGTGGTTGTGGAAGGGCCTAGATGGAGTTCCTATTGGCATCAGCGTTACTTGTATCAGGGCCCTCAGTCAGGAAGTAGTTTTCGTGGAAGCCCTTGATGGAGCTGGTTTTAGTGTCTACTAGGACCACAGGGTGCAGGTTGGTGGTTCAAGCTCACCAGCTCCTCCTTGGAAACCCTACACAGGGTCTCTATGGGTCGGAACCGACTCAACAGCACTTCACAACAACAACAACAGGACCACAGGAAATCTGGGGGCACCATAACTGGTTAGATGCTGGTCTGGTTGCTGTGTAGGCTTTGCATGTCTGGAGTTCAGCCCACCTGAATGCAGACAGCAAAGCGAAGCAGCCTGCTCCTCAACTCAAGCTGGAGTGGCTCCCAACTACATGGCTCCCAACTTCCAGAGTGCAGGGTCTACACTGCGGGTGGATAAGGGTGGGAGCTGGCCACACCTCTGGTCACCAGGGGAGCATGGGGAAAAAGAAGAAATTGTAAATTTCCTGTCATCCTCTCTGCTGCCAAAGCTGCTCACAAGATGGTTGTGCCACATTTGACTAGCCATTCACCAGTCACTTCCCAGCAAGCACTCCATCCACCTCTCGAACCTTTCTTCTGAAGTTCAGGGTGCCAGAATTTTCATCTGTGTCTGTTTTGTTTTGTTGCTTATATCTTTGTTACAGAGAGTCCATGTATGCGTCTGTCTAGCCTGCCATTTTGTGAGAAGTCTCCAGTCTAACAATTCTATGAAATCTCCACCTCAGGACATGTAAGCACCACCATACTGGCCTAGTCCTCTAATGGGCCCACTGAGGGGACAGATGCTCTCATGAAGATAAACTAGAACACTCCGAGCCAAACTGAGGACCATATGCCGACAGACAAGACCAGAGAGAGACGAATCCTTCAGCAGTACCCCAGAGCTCCAACATTCCCAACATCTTGAAGTCACTGCATTCCACTATTCCCCTGCCTGCGCTCTGCGCACTTCCACAAGGACCTGGCTGGAGAGAGTTTACATCCATGTGGTATTCACGGAGAGAGAAGCTGGTCTGGGCATATGTAAGGCAGACTACCCTTGTACAGCGGTAAATCCTGGGGTTTCCAATGAGGCCACGCATTCATTCACATTGAGTGGGAAAAAGACCACAGAACAGGAAGTAAGGAGATGACCTACACCCATCAGATAGATGGGAAGAAATGCCCATGGGGCCTTGGCCCTGGAGAGTGATTGGGACAGCTCTTCCCACAAGTGGATCAGCATGCCATACTTCCAATGGGAGGCAGTTTTCTTTTAAATGAGAAACACAGCACCTGTGAGGTCCAAAATGCCAGGATCTCTGCCTGTGGGTTAAAAAGGCAAAACCAGGAAGTTCTTCAGAAAAGAGGGCAGGGAGAAGAGCTGACAGGTACAATGCGTGAACTCACAGCTAACCAAGAGACTCATACTCTTAGAAAACCTCAGCAATTCATCTAACATAAGGTTTCTTTTCCTGTCAAAAAAAATCCTTTTGCTCCACTCGTATAAGTATATAAAACATACCAATTTTTAAATTCTTTCTCAAGCTTAAGCAATTATAT